TCGGAATGTGTTTTTTATTCTAGCGCATTCCAGGGTATATCTCCCCAACTTTTCCTCGGGACACTACCACAAACTCACCACGTGCTATTTGAAATTCCCTGGAGATTTGGGTATAGTTAGTGCGGTAAAACTTCCCTGGCTAACTTCGGCTTCTGAGCGCTGGGCTGTCACAGCATCAGAGGGGGAAGAGGAAATCTCTCTGTACGTTTTCGTCTTCGCATTTATTTTTTTTTAACGTAATGAAATTAAAACTTTTAGAGCTCACAGTTGACATTTTGCAGAAAATTGAGTTATCAAGGCAGTAATTATTTCACAGGGAGATAAAACTCTCGTAGCCCTAACTGTCAAATAGGACCCTTTTCAGATTTTAATTACAAAATAAAATTAGTCTGCTCTTCCTCGGAAGGGTTTGTGAGTGGCTAAACAGAGCTTTCCCCAATACTGGTGGTCGTCAAACTCTGCTAATTAGCAATGCTGAGAAATTCCAGTTAACAAGGACATTCTCTAAGTCTCTGCAGGTTCCCTGCCGTTCGCCTTCATTTCCATAAGAAGATTAAGAGTGGAGGGGAACACACTCAAATGCAGATGCAGAAAAGAAGCGTTTTTAACAAGCATCATAATAGTAAGATGCTTGGCTAGTTCTCACCTAATTACTGCAAGTTAAACCTCTATTTGCAGCTAAGGACAAAAAATGGAGCCGCAATCTCCCATCTCCACAAGACTGCTTAATAGTTTGCTTTAGATTGGTTACTAGTAGGTTCAGGAAAAAAATAGTATGAAAATGTGTATATTCTTCCCGATAGAGTTAACACGATAGGTTATATCCTTAGGGCTCTTAGAGAATTCGGCGAGTATTAGAACAATAAATACATAAAATCCAAGTAGTTAACATTCATTTTCTTTTTAAGAAACTCGTAACCTGGAAATAAGAGCGCGTGTGCCGCAGAGCCCATCACTGAGAACGTTTGCAGACTATTTGTTTAATGTAAGCACTTTTCATTTCCATAAATTATACCAAAGGCAACGGGTTTTTAAATCCACTCAGATTAAACCACCCCTCCGCAGGCCTCCCTTCCAACGTGGCTATATTCTTCCAGAGAGCGGTGGTGTTATTGTCATTAATGCAGAAAACTCGGGGACCATTTCCTTTTTTTGGTTTTATAGCCGGCATCCCGGTCCCTCTCCGCTTCCGCCCCTCCGTGTGCGTGTGTGCACATATTCCCCGCCACGCACACCTCCGTACCCAGAGGAAAGGGAGAAAACGCCCCGAAAGAGCCGTCGCCTGCCCCTTATTTTCTGTAGTGCCTTATTATGTATATATGCCAGATAGTTTATTGCATCGATAATTGAAACAGTTAATTAAAATAGAGCTGTAAGTACTCCCGATAACACAATTGCTAGGCATTTCCCATCCTTTACCCGTACGGTAAATGTAATTAGGAAAGGGCCCGGCCCGGAAAGGCCTCCAGCGCGCGCAGGGCAGCCCACGCCGCCCTGGTCCTGCGTGGAGCCCCGGGCCGCGCACCCCACGCACCTCCTGCAGCTCCAGCCGGAGCAAAAATAACACTTCGCCTGTGCACCACCAGCCCTCAGTTATCAGTTTATTACGATGAGCAAACACCACCGCCACCCACCCACCCCCTTTTTTTCTTCTTCAAACTTAATTATCCCTAAGAGGTTTTTTTGGAATAGCGTTATCAACCGCAGACCAAAGGGAGAACAATAAGAAAGTAAACAGCCGCCGTGCCCTCAGGAGTGCCTGGACAATCAGAATCCCTTTATGTCCCACATCGCGTAATTTGCACCTATTTTTCGACGGTTTAACCTATCACTTATCTACGGGTTATATATACATTTTCGAATTAAACACATTAAACCCGATAGGATTTATTTGCATAATCCACACACAGAAAAAGATGCACCCTTGTTCGCTGGCGGTTTTTTATTGTTATTATTTAGATTGGGTGTAATTGCCTGGTCCCTTCCCCCCCGCCCCGGCTCCCCGTCCCTCTCC